CCGTCAATTCAATAAATTATCTTGACTGCAAGAAATATGCCACATTGTTGAGAAATGTTGTTATAAAGGCAGTCTATGGTAAGTTGTATCCACCAAAACTGTATGGTAAGATTACTATATTAGTTACGGCTCAGCAATCAATTGATGTGAGTATCTAAGTCCTACGAGAGAGAACAATCAAGTCTCGCATAACCTAACAGTTATGTTTCATACTATGAAGAATGATGTTCTAGCCACATACAAAGAATAAACCCACTTTTAACGATTATCTGCTAGTTGACTTTAAAATATATCCCATTCTTTTAAATACTCTCAAATTAGAAGAAATAAAAATGATGAAATGCACTTATTTCCTTATTTCCAAGCATTAACATGGTGTTAGTATAGAAAACGTTTATATCAAAGTAAAGGCTGTTAATTTTTAGCTGCATAACTGATCATTTGACTTGCTAAAATGAATGAAGCCAAGTGAACATCGCTTACATTTTCAATTTGACAATACAATTCCCCAGTGAATGAACATCAGGAGACGGAATCACTGGCGAACTGAATTTGAGTCATTCTCGGTAGCGAATATTTTTAACAATAAACATGATTAGACCTCATTTGAATTACCACCGGGCTGTCAGGATCTGGTTTTCAGGACAAAAGTTTAGAAGTGTGTTACTATTAGATATGAGTTTGATATTTCTTAACAACGGTAATTTTTTTTGCTGACTAGCGTTCTTTTAGTGTAACTGTTTTCCTCAGGAAGAGATTCCTAATCTCGGAGCTAAAGTTCTTTCCTTATCCAGGTTTGTGACTGAGAACAACCCCAATAAAGCCTCCATCTAGAGTTAATAAATTTGGTTTGCGAGACTGTTTTATATTTCTATTAATGCGATGCTTAAATTTCATGAAAACTATCTTCATCACATTCATTTCAAGTAGATTGTAATAAAGGCACTGAGAAATGAAGCAGTACACACTACTTGGGATTTATACATTAGAGATATTTGACTACAAAATGACGGCTAATATTTGCCCATCTTGAAGGTTATCTATTATTGAAAGTCTACTGGACATAAAATATGGTTTATTACGTTTGCTCTTGATTATTAGTCATAGTTGTAAACTCAGTATTTATTGAAGAAAGAAATTCTCATTGAACACATAAAGAGAAAACTGATATACCTTGAAATCATTGTAGTTTGAAAGACAATGGATGTCTTTATTTAGAGTCTTTATAAATGATCACACCTTGTGCTTATAAAATAGATTTCATACTGGAAATATCATTTTTTTTAACTTTACGAACATTGACATTAGTATATATCGTGACATGGGCTTTTACACTTGAGTATCGAATGATTTATATAAACAGGTAAACAGCTGTCAATATGAGCTTTTATTTCTAACCTGTACGTCGTAAATATAACACGTAACTGGTTTTATGATACCGTAGAAGTAATTCAGATATTAATTAGATATATGTTGAAGTTAACAAGTAAAAGGCTTACATAAATGTTATTATCAAAATTTCATACACAGGTTTAATACAATGCTCGAAAAGTAAACACGTGATACATGTTTTTTCTGACATCGTGCTAGGTATTAAGAGGGTGCAGTATGCTGAGAGAAGGATTCACTGAGTAAAGGTTACAAATGCAGGATGACTAAGAGTGAATTGTTGATCAATTAATTAAAGCCTGCTTTATTGCAATCTCATTGGTCTTCATTAATTACATTTGCGCTCTCTTAGTGAATAGGGAGAATAATTACCGTTTTCAGTCGAATTCATTTAGTTCCTATGATAAAAAGCAACCATTTTTCTACTTTCATATTAACTACTTATTAATTATTTCAGTAGATATGAGTGGTAAGACATATTTTCATGATTGTTGAAAATGATTTTTGTAAATGTGGTTATCAAAATCGTGAAACAATGATGATAATTTGAGGGAGGTTTTCGATACATCAATCTCAGCCGAATTACGAATAAACTTGGCAGCCGTTTTTCACTTATTTTAATTTCAAAAAGATTTACATGAACGTTTCGACTAGGATGTGTTGTTTGTTATCTCATTTTGTGTAATACGCTGGTATATTATGTCCAAAACAATTCACCAAAGATATATACTGGTGAGGACTGTGAACGTTTTCTGAAAAGTACGGGTTATACTTCAAAACCTTTATTATGTCAGCTCAAATGAATGGCTTGCACTGGAAACCTTGCAAAGTACTATGCTACTAGCAAACATGAATATTTGTTTTATGCATTATAGCACAATAAGGATAAATTTAAATTACTCCACGCAATTAGTAACTTTTATTCAAAAGTATAAAAAGGGAGGAAGATAATAAAAGTCTGTGTCATTAAAGGTAGATGGATGATATTTGCATCTTAGTAAGAATTGCTGTGTGCACCAATATGTCAAGCCTACACGGCTACACGTAATTCGACCTCATTAATTAGTCGCATAGAATCCCGAATCTTTTATTTAAGTGTGTGTGTGTGTGTATATCGCCTACTTTATTCACCACATATCTGGCTTATCTTTGTCTAATTTTAAACTACTGGTCATCTGTTATCAAATGGAGTCGGCCCACTAACCATATCTGCTTTGCTTTTGCACTCCTTATCCTCTCATCAAATAAATTCATTTAACTGAATCTATATATGGCTGTTCATTACCAGCATCACAAAGACAGTGTTCGTTCAAGCGTGTTATCAGGAATAAACTGAAAAATTTATTTCATTATCATATTCAATCATTCTTCTCAGGTAGTGTCAGATTTCGGGCCACTAAAGAATAAATATTGCTGAAGATGTCACACCACAACACCTCAGAAACGACTAGCACCTTTTCCGAAACATAAAAATTCAAAAGTTATGTCTAATAGAGCTCAAATATTTATGTCTTATATTTTTACTATCGTTTATTGATAACTTAAAAGCTATACTTCCTAGAAATACATGATAGGAAATACGGACTTCTCTTCACATGAAAAAATTTTAATTACTTATCAGCGTAAACTCAGAGAATTTGGTCGAAACTTTAGAAAAATAGCATCAAAACCGATTTCCAGTTAAAGAACACTTAAGTTTCCTGTGGAAAAATCAAAAAATGAAATGCTAAACAACCAAATGAACAAAACAACTAACGGTAACGGAATAAAGTACGAAAACAACCAAGCCTGTTGACGGTATTGCCGTCAGAATGGAATAAGGTGTGCTGATTGGACAGCCGAAATACTCACATTCAACTTAGATAACTGTTTCTGATGTCACCACACGTGACAACAAATCATCCATTTCATAGTCAATTGAGCCTGTGTAAGCTAATAATTATATTTATCGTTCCAAAATGATGAAAATATTTGGTAGAAAACGTATCGAGAAACAGTCAAGATTTTTGAAAATCGCTTTCATCTAGTTGATTATTTCAAAACCAACAACTTCAGATTTTATAACGAATTAGCCCGAAAAACCTATATTCATACATTCATTTGTCCGGACAAAATATATTTGGAATAATAAGTCTACTTATAATACAAATAAGTAGCTTGCAACATATAGGTAAACTAAAACACCGCACAAGTGATTTTGGATGACAAGAAATCATGTGCTACCTATGAGGATAAAAGTAACAGCCAATTGAAATATGCACTGGTATACCCTTGAACAACAAATCCCGCTTGACAGTTGTCGCTTTCTTTTTCCAATGCTTTTCAAATTTATGCACTCATGACTCCACATCACTAAGCTGAAGGACCTTGAATCTTCATGTTCCGTAGTGCCCATCAGTTCTTCGTCAGTTAGTTAGGGTTCAGTCATTTATATTTTAAACTTCAGGTAGTTTTCATTGTAGCAGTACTCTAATCCAGCAAAGTCTATATCATATCCTGTGAGCACATACTGCTGTGTTCCCTTTTATAAGGATCTTACAAAACTTTATCAGTAGTATGTTTATTGATTATTTATCAGTACACAAAATGAAGTCCTTCAGTGCACCCGTTAATATATGAACAATATAATTTTTCATTATGCCACAAACGAAACATATTAACGGCTAAACTGTATCATCATACTGTTGAATTTTTGGCACCAGAAACTTAACGTTCGATAAGGTACTCATTAATTAAATCGTCAAACTAACTGGCGTTTAGTGCATAGTCATGACGCTACAAACAACTCCTTTTACGTCTGTACGCTTATTTATTGATAGATTTGAAGGGACTGACTTGTACAAATTGTCATGAGTGTATATATATCTGAAATGCGTCGGAAAATTTCAAAATTCCAAAATTTTTAAATTAATTTCATAGATTATCATCAATAAAGGTTTCCTTAATTGTTCAGAAAATAACTGGACTAACGCCTACAACAATATATATATATATATATATATATATATATATACATATTTCTTGCCAAATATTTAAGACACACGTAAAAGTAACATCAATACTGAAATACTCGGCAGTGAAGAAAAAAAGAGAATTATTTAAATTGGAATTTTAACACCAAATTAATATTTTGTCCACATACTATTTCATTTTACAAATAATAAAAAATCGCCTAAATTTATGTTTATTTCCGAAAAAAATGAAAAGAAGCACAATTCAAACTAACTGACAGACAATAATTGTTGAGTGACTGAATGAATGCAAATTTAAGAAGACTCTATGACTTGAATATTTCATTTGGTTATTTAATTAATATTCTTTTGATTGAAAAAAAATTCTTCACTTATTTCGGCGATAGTAAGCCAGTAAACAATTAAATAATAATCAAAGTACAACTTTCTTTAAATAATTTTTCCCAATCTATTTTTTTCTGGGGTGCATACACGCATTTCAAGAGTATGTGTATGTGTATGGATTGTTTGAATAAAAGTACTTGGACATGTGTTTGTGTAGTGGCATTGTTTGCACCTACGGACTGTATGTTATATTCATATTCATTCAAATTACATTCATTGTGTTTACTTGACTGAAATACACTTTATTACACAATTTTAAAAGATACTGTTTTAAACCACACGAAGTTGTTGAAAAATCCAAAAAACTATTATTTAACCAATCAAAAATGAGAAAGTTACTACGAACTAACTGGTGTTATCAATGCCATGCTTATTATTTAATTTTATAACATTATCGTCATTACTAATCATACTAAAGTACTTGTTTCTACTATTACTACTACTATTATTATTAGTAGTAGTAGTATGGTTAATTGAACATCCAATGATATTATTTTTTTCATCACACCAATGGTATATAAGAAAGTGAACAGTAATCACTGCAACCATATCAATATTAACACTTTACTCTAGGTGAATCAATAATTCGCCTTATGATAAAATGTCAATTTTCAATGGTCAACGTAATGATTATTTAAAAAAAGAAATCAATGGTCTTAAAAAATGGAAAGTAAATGGTCATCAGAGCATTGAAAAATCAAATAACATACAAGAAAACGGTAAACAAAATGATCATCAGGAAAATGGCAATAACCACAATGGAGAACAAATCGATCAATTCAAAAATGGTTGTACATCAAATGGCGCTGAAAAAGTCAATGATTCAATTGAAAATGGAGCGAACTATGACAGTTTGAAAATTGCCAAATTGAATGGTGAACATAATCATGATTGTATAAATAATGATAATAATGATAGTTTTATACCAATATGTAAACCTGGACGTTTTATTTGTCGGTAAGTGTTTATACTAATAGATTTACTATAATAAAGAAAACATTGTTTTAAGTGTCGTAAAAGTAAAACATTTTAAATCAAAGTTTCGTAACAAACATCATTCAAGATAGTTATTAAAATAGCAGAAAAAAAGGACAAACCACTTAAGATTTCAATAGTTTCTTTTGAAAGGAATCTGTCAAACTTTTGTCAGTTGCGAAATGAATATCCCCCATTCATTCAACTGAAAATGAAACATTTGAAAAACAGAATCTGACTAATTTATCATCGATTTCTAACGAATAAATGTTACCAATAAACGGCCTTGTTTGTTTGGGCATCTAAAGTTAAACATATTTGTTAAGGTTCATAGGAGATCCAAAAGGTTGACTACTTTGAACATGAGTCAGTTGACTTGATATTTAGATCAGTAAATGAAGTCGTAATTTAATGAGTAAGAAATATCAACATTCCTAGAGTAAATCATTACCAGTTGAAAGATGTTCCTTCTATTTAGTGCAATAAACGCGGAATGGTATAGATGAATCAACTGGTTGATTGCTTGTCACAATAATAATAATAATAAGCTCCGTGGTAAGAAAGGTTAACGATCCGAATGTGGGACCAAGTATCTATGTTCGATTTCCGTTAGCGGCGTCATTGCTGCACGCTGTTGAGAAGTCCCATACTAGGACGCAGAAGACTTCCAGTGCTTCCAGATTTTCATTAGTGGTCAAACTAATATTATTAGTCAGCAGTTAATAGTATTTTAAGACTCCTTGTAATCAACAAATATAATATTTTAATTCAATTTATTTAAGAAAATCATCGTAATCAAGGAAAATGTTTTCCATTGATTATTTCCAAAAAATTACTTTGTATCTGATAACAAACTCTATACGTGGTTAATAGGTCCCAATAAACTTTTCATAGAATCAGCATATTATTGTGTTTGCCTCCGTAAAAGTGTGTCAATGAAATTTTTAAAATCTTAAAAAGATTTCATTTTAGGACATATTTCAACTTCAGATTATAATTCGCTATATTTGAAAAAAAAACATATCTTCCAGTATATTTCTGTTTGTTTTACTTGTTGTGTACAGTAATAGGAATAAAAACCAAGTGTTTTGTATATGTATTTCAGTTGTGAATTTACTAACCCTCATGATATTTGTTAAGGGTTTGTTATTTTTAAAAAAAATTTATATAACTATTAATTTGATTAATCGTAAATGCTTTTAGAAAAAACGGTTAGATATGTGCCAAAAATTTTAAAATGCATTCCATTGTATCATAAATGCATTTATCCCTTGATTAAATTCTAGCTTTAGTTAAGATCACTGATTGAAATAACTATAAATCCTAATTCTATTGTGCATTTTACGTCTATCCTTTGACCTAATTTCGTAGATACATATTTTTTAAACTATTTTTATTCTGTTTCCGATGTGTTACCCTTATTATTTGTTAAATTATAAATCTTTCATTATAGAGTTATGGGAATCACGAATCCTTTATTATTAGACCACCATCATCATCAGCAGTGCACATCCGCAACTCCAGCAAACTCGCAAGAATCGAACCTAGGACCCTCCATCTTGATTACAAACGCTTAATATCTGTATTAGTGAGCCGGTATAGAACAGTATTATTGTCTGACTCTGATCAATCTAAGATTTCACTCAACCTCACCCATCGTCATGGGTTCGATCAATGCAAGTAGCGGGAGTCATGAACGCCCACTGCTTATGAATACCATACGGAGACGTAACGTCCGTCCAGTGCTTCCAGATTTCTAACGGTGATCCAACAATGATGTGTTCATGAATTGATAATAAATTATAAATTGGTTTTTGTTTTGATACTTGAACGTCTAGTTAGTGAAATGTTGAATGCGGCTGTACATTGTTTATGCTTAACGTATATTTCTTTCTGACTAAACAAATTATTTCGGACTCTAATTTTAGTCTCGTTTGAATCAACTTTCTAAAACTTTGAAAAATATTAAATAGGGCTAACAAAGAAAACTGATTATTCCTAAGCTCACATGCTGAATGATGCATATGATCGTTAGAAAAATTTTGAGCGAGCGATCTTTTAAAACTTAGTATTCACTTATCGTCAAGGTTAAACCTGACATGAATATTTACCAACTGAGTTTGTCATATTTCAAATAAGCAATATGAATATTGAACAAAACCAAGAATTAAACAATGAATAATTAAGAATGTTAATTTGAAATTTTGTACACAATACGATAAAATAAAATTTATAACTATGTTATTGTGATTAAATCCATACAAGTCGATTGGCCTTTTCAACGATAATCATTTCTTACAAAGGAATTGAACTACGATTAGGCAATATAGATTTTCGAAAATAAACTGTTTAGAAAACAATCATGACGTCATATCATGGCATTTTATTGATCTGTATTAACAGCTAATATCAAAAGATTATTTCCCCGGCTATTAATCCTTTGTTTTGGTAAAATCAATTGTTGATTTATAATTCACTCGAGTAGTTATTAGAAAATACTCTCAAACTGATCAGCAGAACTGTTTATAGTACCTATCAATATTCCACCAAAAAAATCAATTTATCTTCTCTACAATATCTAGAAATGAATCTAATGAGGTAGTTTGTAACATGAACATGCCTTGTCCGTCTATGTAAAGACACCAGGAGATAGTTGAGAGTTTTATTGTTTTATTTTGGGGATTTTCATTATTGAGCAAGTGTATAGGAATACACTCAGTTTAGCTTAGTATGTACACATCTCCTGGTGAATACAATGCCTTTTTATCATTATATAAGAGACCAGTGATTTACGTTTTACAGTATTTGTCAACTTGTAGCATACTTATTTGATTTCAATCGTCAATTTTTTTTGGCATAACTTACTTCAGCAAGCATGGTTTCTAATTAGCGATTCAGCCTAATCTATTTTGTTAGTTACGATAATGTTGAATTGCTTTCAATGTTTCGTAAACAATTCAATTCATAATTAAATTATATGAATTATCATATCATTTCCGAAGTCTTCTAAGTGTAACTTGACTTTAATCTATTAATGCAATAGTAATCTTTCAAAGTTGTTTGAAAAAAAACTATAAAAACGGCAATAATTTGAAAAATTATTGAAAGCCAAATTCCATTGTAAACTATTTGTAAATAAAACAAAATGTCCCAACATGAAGATTGGAATTTTTCAGAAACATACTTCGACGTTTTCTACGCGCGCGCACACACACACACACACATTGTGTTGTCACAGTGTTTGCATAGTTTAAAAACTTATGCAGATCACAATATGAACAAGTTATTTTGTACAAAAGAAAATGTACTGTCCTAACAGTTTTATGATATGCATACCAATACAACACAATACAACAATCATGTAGATGAGTTAACAAGACAAAGATAATGTTGTTGATCATAAAAGGTTGTTGCTTTTTTTTCTCTCGATTAAACTATGTGATTATGGTTATGTAATTGTCTATAATTTGGAAAAATTTTTCTTAGCATTAAAGAACTGTTGGAATTATTTGAAATTTTTCATTCTTTTTCATACAAGATAATAATGTGAGTGAACAGTTTGATTCAATAATTCTCATTAGATTCTGAAAATCACTAATCCAAAGGATTTAACTAATTCGAAATCAAGCAGACTTTCCAAATAATGGAATTTATGCATCAAGAATTGCATTACGGGGTCGTGAAGATTGTTGAGTTTCATAATTTGAAACCGTAGATCAATCAATGTTAGACCACCATTAGAAACCTGGAAGCACTGAACGGCCATTTCGTCCTTGTATGGGACTCATCAGCAGTGCGTATCCACGACTTTTGTAGTGTAAGAATGCACAGCGACTTTGCTAGAGAGCGAATATAAGAACTATAATTTTCGTCACCAATGAGTTTACTTCTAAAGTCACACATTTCAAACATCAGTTAATTCACGATGTTGAATATTCGTTAAAAGGAAATGTCGTTTTAGATTTTTCACCTCAAAGTGATCAGTGTAATAAAGACTATCTTTGTATCGATTATTTTTTGAGGTTGATATATTTTTTCGAGTACATATCTACTTATAAGCTTATCCGGATATAGATTTATTCTGAGAATTTTCCACTATATATTTCCTTCTAAAATGTACTTCAACAGTATAAAACTTAAGAACACAAACATTTGTCTATTGTCACATCTAGTACGATCTGATAATAAGTGAATGTGTAATTTTTTTAATGGCAGTAAAATCACTTCATGTTAAGCTGTGGTTTAGCTAGAAAATTGCCTACAAATAATAATTTCTATAACGAACACATTGCTACAATATCCTTCAGCCTACTGATTTCTTCTTCAAACATAAGATTTCCAATGAAATTACAATGTCTTAATTGGTGTTTTAATACGTTTAATGGACTTGTAGTGTTTGTTCTTGTTTATTTTACTTGTCATAGACATGATAGCTTTTTCCATGAACGAAAACAATGTGAATCATGAAGTTTAAACTAGGAATGTTTCCTTCTGTTAATAAAAGTATGAGAGATCACTTTACGACGTTGTAAGTATTAATCAACTGAGATGGTAGGGCTATGTATTACTTATACCCTGCTACCATCTAACGTTGGCTGCCGTACAAGTTGGATGAACAAGAACTAGAGGTTGAAAAGCCAAATTGTAACAGTAGTTCATGTAGTTTTTGGCTTCTGACTTGAATCGTGTTGGTAATTGGATACAGCTTGGTTGGGATTAGTTTAATAACTGTTGTTGGTAATATTAGATGTTGTGTGGTAGAGCACAGATTCAATAACTTTTTATTTTCCTCTAAACCTTTAGTTCTAGTATTTTACTGCATTTTTTTTTCTCTACCTAGCCAAACCATATTCTCATTATTTAGAGTTTATCACTACCATCTTTATTACAAATGTTTAGACTTGTTTGCTATTCCTATTACTAATTCCACCTCTTCAAGCTGTAACTTAGGCTAACGCACCATTATGCTCGGGTCTGTATTG